TTTAAAAAATATTTTTAATATAATATTAATTTCCAATTACACTAATTTTGAATTTTAAATCATAAATATATTTTTAAATTTAATTTTTTAATTAACATTGATAAGATATACTCCTCCAGTCCTTAATATAGGACATAGAGTTAATTTTGGTTCTAAATATAAAACCTATTTCTTATATTTATCTTTTTTTTTTCTAAATTACCCTTATGAATACTCCCTTAACTATAATTAAGCAGGAGAGCGAAAGAGGATATTAAGAAATATGATTATAGTGTTTTAGAAAAAACATATCATATTTCTTATAACTAACTAACTTATTTAACTTTCTTAATCTAATCAAATTAGTTAAATAGATCTTATATTAAGGATTAGAGAAGTATAATTTAATTATATATGTATTATATTACATTACATTATATTCTCTACATGTGTTTTATATATTTGATGAAAACCATTTATAATTAGTAAAAAAATATTGTTATTCAAAAAATAACTACAATAATAAAATCTAATAAATTAGTCTGTATCAAAAATTAAATGATTTGAATATATTATAATAAATAACATTCTCCTACTTATATGTGCATCCTATATAATTTTTTTCTTCTTAAAAACCTTTGTATATATCATTTGTCTTTGCGTTGAAGACCAAACTTAGTATATATCATAGGTTATTAATTATATTATGATTAAATTTTATTTTTTAATTATTGAAATTTAAAATTCACTTCAACATTAGTTTGATTTATAATCATAAATTAAAGTGTTCACATAAATTTATTTTTTGGTTTTGAATTGTTTTTTTCTTATATCACTTTGTATAAGAAAGTTATTAGTATTCTTGTCATATTTATTTAATTATTATTAATAATCAAGAGGAATTGATTTTAATGAAACATAGACAAATTTCCTAAGAAATTGTCTTCATATTCTCAGCATGTATCTAATGATGATATAAATAATGATGATGCCTTTATTAACACAAACTTCACAGATATATCAATCTATTTTACAATTAAAAATATATTTAAATAATTATATTCTTAATTATATTATTATATAAATTGTTATAAGATTATAATCTAAAATAATAAAATTTAAAATTAGCGATAGAATTGCAACATAATAGACTTAGCAACAAAATTAATGATGAAAATTTTCGTGACATACAATTCCACGACAGAACTTTTCAGTAGCTAATTTCCATGCTAAAAATTTTATAATTAAAATTAGTAAGGGAATTAATGAAAGAAATTTCTAATAAAAAAATTTTGTTACAAATATTTATTGACGGATTTTTCAACGGATTAGTAATGAAATTTAGTGACGAAATGAAATTCTATCTCTAATCTGTCGCTAAATTTAGCGACAAAATTTTCATTGCTAATCTATTGAAAATTGGCGATGAAATAATTTTTTCGTAGCTAATTCTGTTGATAATAAGTTTTTTTTTTTTAATAGTGTGAGGTTAGTATGAGATACCGGGTGCATACCCAAAAAAAAAAAAACACTAAATGGTAGTACTTGGCCTATTAGGCAAGTCAACTTCAAGTCTTCAACTAAATATGTGGTCCACAACTTCCAAATGGCTCTCTCCCAATTTCTTAATCAATTGCATATTCCATATTTTGGGCTCATAAAAGACAAAGGAAACCAACAATAATTAGTTGGAACTCCTTTTTTTACTTTTTCAATTTGGATTTAGTATAATAGGGAAGGGTAAACGGCGAGAGTAATAGATTGTAGATAAAATTAATTTATAGAATCGATTTTATTGAATGGCTAAAGTACACATTTAATTCTTTAACTTTGTACAAGGTTTTAATTTGGGTCCCTTAACTTTAAAAAGTATACTTTTAATTCTTTAACCATAAATTTTTTTTAAAAAGATATTGACATTAAGATCTTAAATGTTGATAAAATATTCTCAAATGCTAACATATTAAGTTTGATTTTCTAAACAATCCATGATTGTTATAAAAAATATCATTGAAGCTTAACAATTTTAGGATTAAAGGACCAAATGTATGCTTTTTAAAGTTAAAGGACCAAATCGAAACCTTGTATAAAGTTAAAGGACCAAATATGTACCTTAGCTTTATTGAATTATGACTTATAACAATTGGTTATCAGAAACTCCTTTAAATAGATTATGGTTCACCAATATTTTAGTTCCAAACTTCATTTTACCATTATGAATAATTTTAACAATACCAATATTTTGCCATATATAGTCAATTATAAATTTAATCCAAATAGGCACTATAAAGATGTTTGATTTTGGGTATATAATTCATTTTAGGATGATATATATAATGGATGTTTGGGTATATTTCTTAGGAAGTCACAACTTTGGTTTTCAAAATTGCTTATGAATTTTATTTTAAATTTATAAAGGTGATTTTAAAATAATTTAGGTTTCGTTATGATAAAAAATGGTTTTAAGAATAATTAGAAATTACTTAGAATAACTTTTGAGAGTAATCACCTATGCGGTCCCTTCAAAAAAGACCCATGTAATGTAAACGAGTATATATCTTATCTAAATTGATTTTAATTTTATTGTTTTTATTTATTTATGCTCAGAAATAAAAAAATATAGAAAATACAATTATTTGTTTTAATAATATAGGTTGGTCTCTGTCCAATGAGAAGAGAATTGCACATCTTGATCTTTTCAGTGACCTTATACAAGTTATAACTATTATAACAGCCACACGCTTCCGGTCCCAAAGAAGACAGATTGACTAGAGTTTTCTTTCTCTCTGTTTTTTTTTTTGTGTGAAAATAATCTAATAATATTAAAAAGAAAAGATAGTATCTTTACAAGTACAGAACTGAAATCAAATAAAAATGAAAAAATTTAGATAATACAGAGTATGAAGCATGAACTAGAAAACAATTGACAAAGAAAGATGATGCCTTTCGAGATAATTAATCTCATCAGTATTGTCTCCCCAGTTGTTAAGCTGAACAAATTGCTTGACAGAGGGCGAGACTTGAAGCGATTGATTACCAAAGAGAAAAATGGAGTAATTGAATCATTTAGATTTAATTTTTTTATTTTATATTTTTAAAAATTATTTTAATATATACATAATCTAAAATAAAAATATTTTAACGGTTAGTTTTTTCTCAAAAATATTTTTATTTCAAAATTTTAAATCTGCACTACTAAACTCTTTTTTTTTCACCTTAAAAAAAAAAACTCTTTTTACACCACCTAATCTACACCTTTTGTTGCGGTAGCAGTGCAAAGAATGTGACTAATGGCATTTTTGTAAATATTGATAGATTTTTTTAAACTGGTTCTGTATACAATCGGTGTAAAATATACTTTTTACACTATTTGTTTGTGCAACCAGTGTAAAAAGTATTAAAAATATTTTTTTAAGAAAACGATATTTACAGGGTTTTAGACTGATTTATCATATAATCAGTCTAAAATATACTTTTTACATCAAATATTTATTATAATTGGTGTAAAAAAAATTTTAAAATATTTTTTTAAAAAAATAATATTTACACACTTTCCAAAGGTGATTTAAAACCTAAAGGTTTAACCTACTTTATTTTGCAACTAACTCTTCTAAATCAAATTTTATTCTCTCATAATCTCTTTAAGTTCTTTCGCAATTTCCTTTTTATGCTTTATTCATCAGTAACCTCAATACTAGTCCTCTTTCATGCTCTTCTTCTTTGTGTTGTGACGTCTTATTTGTGCTCATCTCATATATAGTGCATCATCTTCTTACTTTTCATCTTCTTCAAGTACATTGACTTCTCCACGATCATCAAGTAAAGATCCATGGTCACACCATCTAAATTTGCACCTATCCATTCAGATCTGTGCTCATGGTGTCAAGACTTGTGCTCATCACATTCAGATCCGTGCTATCGTAAGCTCTCATTGTGTTATCATCCATATACTCATATTTGCTTGGATCTATACTCATCTTCATCGCCTCTATATTTGCTTTAAGTTTATACTTTTATTTGTCTGTTTAATGAATAATTTTGAACTTTGCCTAATAAATATATTTTTATTGTATGAACCAATATGAATCAATATCATTTCTAAAAACTTGGCAAGTTTTTTTTTATAGTCTCATTAATCACAACTTCTTCTAAGATTTTATCAGATCTTATAAAATCACAGATCTATTTTTATTTTTTATTTTATTCTTTTTACACCAGTTGGAATAACAGCTAGTGTTAAAAGTAGCATTTTCTATACTGGTTTTGCATTCGGTGTAAAAATGTCAGACTTTTAGCACCACCCGCTTCTACAGTAATCGTCTGTATGGTGTAAAATGTCCATTGTAATCAACGCAAAATACTTTTTTTTTCCCTTGTAGTGTTGAGAGGTTAAAATTATGTCTGGAGAGTGTATATCTTACCACAACTATCATTGCCATGAGTACAAAAACCAGTTACATGGTTTGCGAAATTCTATAGAAAAGGGAAGTTTTCAATTGTTTTAAGATATGTTTTTACAGTAAAAAGTAAGGCAATTGTATCGCCAAAAAAAAAAGTAAGATGATAAACTGATAATACTTACCACAATTAAATTAGGTCCAAATAAATTTTGTAGTTTAAACTTTAAAGTCAACCGAGATCATTATTTTAACCAAGAAATTTTTGAATTTTCTCAAATTTAAATTTAAGTGCAAAATGATGTGGGGGAATATATGGACCTCAATTAAAATGCAAAACATTCATATTTAAATACATTAAAACCAATTCAAAAGCATTCCACAAACTACAATAGTTTGTGTATGACACTAAAATCTATTTAGACCAAAAAAATTGATAGAAATAACATAAAATGAATTTAATTATGAAAAATAAAATTTATTCCTCAGAAATTATAATGATGTTTTATATAAAAATATTATGTGTTGTATATAAGAAGGAGTTTTGCATTAGGAGTCTCCTCTCTCAGAATATTTTTGGGGTCCATTAGAAAGGACAAAGAAAGAGCCTTATCATTTCCAGGCTCCAACCGAGTTGACGAACCAAGTTGACGTGATATATGAATATGAAAATCTCTTTTTCTTTGCCTCTAAGTTTTTTATTTTGTGATCATTGCTTTCTATTTTAGAGAGAGAAAGAGCGAGCAGTATGATTTCCAGCCAAGTTGACGACTCATCAAGCTCATGAAAAGTCGCAGTGGAATTCTGTTCATCTGGTTTCAGAAAATTTGCAAGCCGGGAATCTTAAGCTGAATTTTGCAAGCTTAATTATCTGGTATGAAAATCAAACCCTCCTTAGTCTTTCATTTTCTGGAGCTTTCACTTGCAGATTACATTTGTTACTTGTTCTTCTTTCAACTTGCATGGCACAGATCTGATAGAAAATACCTCTCAAAACAGTACATAGTTCCTTTTGGTGTCTAAAAATAGCTGCAAAAATCTTACATCTCACGGCAATCAAGTTACAACAATTGATCTTTCTTATTTTTCAAATTCTACATCTTCAAATTTACCTTTCATCAGCTTGCTGTTACGTATTTGGAGATGAAGCGGTAAAAAGATTGCTCTTCACGGAATAAAATTTTGATTTTGAAACGGTACGCACCTGAGGTTGGTGGAATAATAACTTTACAATAAATAAGTTAACATTTCAAGATTTTTCTAGCACACATGTTCTATCTTCATTAAAATATTTTTATATTATCTCTCAAAAAATTTTATGACGCTTGAAGAAAAGAAACAGAATCAAATCATTAAGTTTTATATGTTTTATATGCATTTTTCTTTTATTGAAGTACATTTTCTCAATTTTCTTCGAACACTTTTACATTTGTTTATTAAATAAAGTAGAAAAATTGCTTAAAATCCCTCATTAAAATATTTATTAATTAAAGGTGCTTCAAATTTGTTTAAAGATTAAAGGGCATCTTATCCTCAGCATGATTGGCAAAAGAAAAAACTTATCCTTGTCATGTGTTGGCACACAAAAAAAAATCCTTGTTGTCGGCACGTGCAACACTTTTTCAGTTATATAGAGAATGAAAGATATTTACATATAAGTGAAGATACGTTGAACACTGAAAAAGAGTTGCATCTACTAATTCAAGAAAAAAAAACTTTCTAAATAATGATTTACTTTATTTTATTTGCCTTTTTTTCCTTTGTTTACCAAACTAATGAACGAACTTATTAAAAAATCAGTACATCTACCACTTGCAGGAATTTCATAAGGTACTAGTTCTAAATTTTTTTACCAGATCTGGTCATCGCAATGCAATTCTGTGATCACTCTCCAAAATCTCCAAGCCCAAACTGAAAGTGTAACTTCATCCATCACGGTATGAAGCAATATCCCTCTCCTGATGAATTATTTAAACACTTTCAACGGGCAAATCATCTTGTGAGTTGTGACAATTTGTAGAATATAGGATTTATTGGTAACTAAATTTTATAATTCGGACTTATCTGTGAATTTTTAATATATTTTTATTTCAAAGAAAATTTATATAAATTCCAAGAATTGAAGTAACACTTAAATGAGTTCAGACTAAAACAAGCATGATTGATTCAATCTACTTAAAATTAATTTACCTAAGACATCTCCTCCAATTAATCTGAGAGATACATAATAGTAGAAGAAGGAGGGAGGGAATTGAGAAAGATGCTTAGAGTATTTTAGAAAAAAAACATGTCATATTAACTAATTTAACTAACATCCTTAATCTACTCAAATTAGTTAATTAAGTCTTATATTAAGAACCAGAAAAGTATAACATATTAATGCAAAATGAAAATTTTGAAGTTTCCAAAAAGAAAATCAGAAGATTTCTTTTTTACATCAAATTTTATTTCTATCATTTTTCAATTTCGATGTCATACTTTGAGGACTATCGTATCCAACAGAACTGACCGCTGAAGCTCAAGAATTCTGTTCATCTCGCTAGCGCTCTTGGAGATTTGCAAGCCCAGAATCATCAACTCAATTATACTGTGGAAGCTTAATTATCTGGTATCAACATCAAAACCTCTTCTTCTTTGCCTGTTTAGTCTTTCATTTTCTGGTCAGTGCTTTCTATTTGTTTTACTTACTTGAGGGTTCTTTCCTATGTATTATCAGTCCCCACTTCCAAGCTCCAACTTGGTTGACGACTTATCAGTTTGGTCATCGCAGTGCAATTCTGTTCTTCTAACTCTTGAAAATCTTCAAGCCAAGACTGAAAGTGCAAAATTCATCACAGTACGAAGCAATATCCCTCTCTTGAATCAGTGTGTCATTTTTTCCCACTTTAATATTTCAGATGTTTCCTTTTCTGTTTTTTATTTCTATCATTGTTCTATTTGTTCTTCCTTACACAAATATCTATCTCTGATATCTTTCAATTCCTTTGTGTTAGTTGTTCTTTTCACATCTAGATGCTATCTTCATGAAAGATGAAGTACGTAATTAAGAAGCTTCAATTGTTCAAAACGAAACCTTGAGTTAATCATTTGATGATCATGAATAACTCTTGCTTCAGGTTGCTATTAATATCAAATGGCAGAGGTGGGAGTGTCGGTAGCAGCAAAACTTGCTGAGTATTTGTTGGATCCAACTTTACAGCGACTCCAATATTTGTTCTGTGTCGGCAAAATCACCAGAAATGTTGAGATCAGAAAGGAGGAACTGATACTGAAGCAAGGGAGGGTGCAAAAAGATGTTCAAGAGGCCATCAACAGGACCGAAAGGATATATGACGAGGTTAACATGTGGAAGAATGACGTGAAGACTCTCATAGCAGAGGTGGAGAAACTGGAGGAAGAACTAAGGGCCAACAATGGCTGCCTTCGAGGGTGGTGTCCTACTTGGAGGAGATATTGTCTCTGCAAAGAGTTGGCTAAGACAGCACAGAGGATAATTGATCTGAATACAAAGTGCGGTTGCTTCAATCAAGTTTCCCATCCTGTTATTGCCCCAAATATAGAATTTCACTCTTCTCAAAACTTTAAGTTCTTCAACTCTACACAAATGGCCTTTGATCAGCTGTGGGAGGCATTACGTGATGACGGTATCTCCATGATTGGGATATGGGGCATGGGAGGGTCAGGGAAAACCTCCTTGATGAGAGTAGTGGAAAAGAAAGCCGAGGAGTCACAGCTTTTTAATCAAGTTGTGCTCACTACAATTTCTCAAAGCCCAGATATAAGAAAAATTCAAGGCGAAATTGCTGATGCTTTGGGGCTCGAATTGAAGGAAGAATCTGAAACGGGAAGGGCAAAAAGAATAGCACTACGATTACATAGTGGAAAACGAATTTTGGTAATAATGGATGATGTATGGGCTATGTTGAATCTTGAGGACATAGGGATTTCCATGGGGGGAAACCATCAAAGAAGTTTCAAAGTTGTCCTAACCACACGCAGTCTTGATGTATGTATCTTAATGGAGTGCCAAAAGAGGATTCGACTTGATTTATTAAAAGAAGATGAAGCTTGGACTTTATTTCAAGCGCATGCTAATGTCAAAGATGCTACTAAAGGAGATATGGCGCGACAAATTGCTATGGAATGTAAGGGCCTACCCATTGCTATTGTAGCTGTGGGAACTTGCTTGAAAGAAAAAGGAGTCGATGAGATGAAGGTAATGTTGTATCAGCTAAGGAATAAGAAAGCAACCAATGTGAATAAAGGAGTAAGGGATGCTTTTACTTGTCTTAAACTAAGCTATGATAATTTGGCAACCCGAGAAGCCAAGTTGTTGTTGTTAATGTGTGCTATGTTTCCTGAAGATCATAATATTGGTGTTGAAGACCTTTTTAGATATGGAGTGGCTTTAGGCCTATGTGATGATGTAGACTCATTTGAAATAGCAAGGAGCCAAGTTAGAGCAATTATAAATTATCTCATTAACTCCTCATTGTTGATGCGTTCTTCAAAATTCAACACAAAGTCACAAGAATATGTGACCATGCATGATATGGTTCGTGATTTTGCATTGTGGAAAGCATCTGAAGAGGATCGTACCATTATGATAACTTGTACAAAAGAATTGAATGAATTGATGGCTGATGAAGCCATAAAAAATTGCTATGCCATATGTTCTTGGTATGTCAACAACAAATTTTCTTTTCAATTGGATGTTTCAAAAGTTGAGTTTCTATTGTTATGTTCAAGAGAACCCTTGGATATATCACATGCATCATTTGAAGGCACTAAAGGACTCAAGGCATTGATTATTACGTCCTCCATTTTTTTGCCCAAGATTGAACTATTAGGACCTCAATCAATCCAACACTTGTCTAATCTTCGAACTTTGCGATTGCAAGGTTGGTATTTACATGACATCTCTTTTGTGGTAAGCCTTACAAGACTTGAAATTCTTGACTTGCAACGAAGTACGTTTGAAAGAATGCCAAATGGAATTGAAAATTTAAACAAGCTGAAGTTGTTAGATTTGTCAGATTGTAACATACGTAAGTGTTGTTACAAAGTAATAGGAAGGTACTCACAGTTAGAAGAGTTGTATGTTTCCGGGCATTTTTCACAGTCAAAAAATGCAAATTGCTATGAATACTTTGTGGCCGCCACTGCTTTGATGAAATGGAGAAGGTATATGCTAGAAATTGGGAGGCATGAAACACGCTTGATATCTCCTAATGAAAGGACAAGATATTTACGCTTGGGTCAGTTAAACATCTCCATGCTAGGTGCAGGAATCAAGGATCTTGCACAAAGAGCAACTGAAATTGAATTTTATGAGCTTAAGGGAGGCAGCAGAAGTTTCATGCCTAATGTTGTTCAAGCTATTGAAGGTATGAATGAGTTATCTAAACTCTATCTTAGAAGATGTTCAGAGATGGAGTGCATTAATGACAAAATTAATGCTCAAGAAGATGTGATTGCCCCAACATTGGATGAGTTAGTGCTAAGAGATATGAATAATCTTCAACAACTACATCGTGGTCCTTCTTCTTTTAGCTTGTTTCAAAAGCTGGAAACATTAAGTATATCCAACTGCCCTCAGTTGCTCCTCATATTCCCTGCTGGTTGCAACTTCAGCAATCTTAAGTCTGTCAGTATTTCTAATTGTCCGAGGTTGACGTCTCTCTTCATTGTCTCTGTTGCGTGCACTCTGTTGTCCTTACAAGAGCTCCGAATAAAAAGTTGCAGTGAACTAAAGCATGTAATAAAAGAAGAGGGTGTTGGCAATGCATGGGAGAATTTGAGATTCCCAAAATTGAAAATTTTGTTTGTTGATAATTGCTGCAAATTAGAATCTGTATGGTCAGTCTTTTTAGCTCAAAGGTTTGTACAATTGCAGCGTCTATCCATAACAAATGCTCCTCAGATGAAATTTGTGTTCGGTGAAAATGTTGATGAAGAACAGCCATTGTGTGATCAAGATGAGGCTCAAATAGCTCTTTCTCTTTTGGATTACCTCACACTAACAAATCTTCCAAACCTTGTCAGAATTTGCCCGGAGAGTTATCATCTAAGGTGCCCATCTATAAAAACAATAGAATGGAAGGATTGTCCAAATCTGGTACGTGTTTGCCTCACATATTGTAATTTGATTCGCAAAAAAAATGTTAAAAAAATATTGAAGCTTTTTATATAATAAGATATCTTTGTTCATGTGATTTAGCAAGCGTTAAATATCAAATAGTGTTCGAGTGAATACACTTTGAGACATGATCCAGTCAACTAATTCGTTCACATTCTTCTATTATTTAAAATAAGAAATGAAATTAAAATCATACATTATTCTCTTTGTGCCTTTGAGTCTCACCCTGTTTTTGGTTTGGAATTACTCTGCAATATGAAAATAAAAATGCAATTACTGATAACAACTTTTGTTTTAGACGTGCTCCATATTAAACAAACAAAATACATGTACATGCAGAATTTTCATTTTGTTATTTTGTTATTTCCAACATTCGATTTATTTGTCATTTCAACGGCCCACAGTAAACATTGACTTTTATGGGCCCCTCATTATAATTTTTCCTTGACTTCATTGATTGTGACGCATATGTATGTATATATTTGCCAACATATATATTGAACCAATTGAGCTAAAAAAGTTCGTAACTTAACTTCAGTGTGAAATATCTATTTTCTTATATATGCAAATGGCTGGTGTTGTTTAATTTACCAAAAAATTGATAGACTAAGTCTATGCAAGAATAATACATGTACATATAGAATTTTAATTAATCTTGATTTATCGTTTTTTAGGAATTATGTTGATGGTTTTCCTCTTCTTTTCTTCCCCTTTTCCCTCTTTCACAAAGGAATTGCAGGAACTTAAAGGCCATCAATTGAGGAATGAAGAATGCAAGTCAGTGGCAGATATAGGACGTACTGAACTTCGTAACCGTGGAGTACAATCTATTTTCCTTTATAAGACTGGGGTTGGAGAACGAAGGACAACATTTAAATACCTTCAAGAATTAACTTTAAGAAATTGTAAAAGACTGAAATTTGTCTTTTCTGCTCATATTTGTCAAAGTCTTCCTGAGTTAACTTCTGTCACCATATCTTGTTGTGAGGAGTTGGAGGCAATTTTTCTGGGGAATGAAGAGACTCATAAGAATCTGCCCATAGCTGAATCTGATCTGCTAAAGTTGAAGAGTCTGGAGATCTCTAAGTGCAACAAGCTTAAATTCATTTTCATGATCAGTGCTGCTATCTCAATACTTCCTCAGCTAAGCACTCTAACCATATCAGATTCTTCTCAAATTGAAGAAATTTTCAAGTGCTCAGACATTGAAAATCATGACATTGACAGTGAAAAGGAGATTACATTCCCAAACATGAAACGTATGGAACTCGATAACTTGCCACGACTTGTTAATGTCTGTCAAGGGTTTAAGCTGCATACACGGGAGATTTTCAAGGTTCAGGTTCATCACTGCCTAAATTTCTTGCCAATTATAAGTGCAACTATTCATTGGACTGAAGAGGTAACTAATATTCTAAATTTCCGTTTCTCAATACTGCAAATCTTGTCGATCTTTGATTTGCAAATATTGCAAACAAAAGCTAGTTTGAAAACAAACAATCGTACATTTAATCCAGCATTCTTTTGTAGTTATTTACATGTATTAATTTTCACACTTTTTATTTTCCCTCTCTAATATACTTGATCAACTTGTGACTATTTTGGTACTACAGATACGAATATGATATAAATTTTTCTTATACTATTACCTCACAATCAATGATAGTTCAAACTATAGAAGTTGAAAAGAAGAAGGATTTCATCTGTGCTGTGCATGATATGTTTCAACATGATATACTCCTGCATACAAATTAAACTTGCTAAATGAACTACATCTCTTGACTTGTACAAATAGGTACCGATGTTAAATGTATTGCAAACTCTTACATCTCTTTCTTTTCATAATCTTTTCAAGGAACTTAGAATATCTTATTTCACCTACTTTTCACTCCTCTGTTGTATACAGGGACTTGTAAGGGAGTATGTGTTGAAATACAACCAGTTAAATAATAATAAGGCTCTCAACCTTCCGCTTTCTGTTCTGAATGCTGGAGAGCTTGATATTCGAAGTCCTGGAGTTGAACACAATTGGCGAGTGATTGGTGATGATGAGGAACAAGAAACCAACAACTCAGGAATGTTGAGATCAGAACAACAAATGCTGGGAGGTCTTGTTCCCACCCAGGTTTTGAGCTTTCAACATCTTCATTCCTTAGAAGTAACTCACAATAAAAGGTTGAAGTTTTTGTTCTCAAGCAGCACACTTGTCCACACCAGCCTTCCCAAATTGGCTTCCTTAATCTTATCTGATTGTGAAGAACTGGAGGAAATAATTGCAGAAAATGAGGAACATCATATCATGTCCAGTGCTGAAGTTCACTTCCCAAAACTTGGGGAGTTGAAGGTTGAGAGGTGCAACAAGCTCAAAAGACTCTTCTCTACGTCCACGAGTATTATTCTTCCACAACTATACTCTTTGTCAATAGCTGAGGCTAATCAACTGGAGGTGATTTTTAGACATAGCAGTGAAGGTGATGCGAACTACAGTGAGGCAATTGTGCTTTGCAGCTTGAGGACGATAGAGCTAACAAATTTGTCAAATTTGAAAAGTGTTTGTCAAGGATTGCAGATTCAGGTGAAGCTGAGCAGCATCAGCATATGGAACTGCCCAAAATTTGTGGATTCAACCTTGGGAAGGGCTCTTCAACAATTGGGAACAGTATCGGCATGAATGAATATTCCATATCATCTTGATTTAGAGTCTTCAAAATTGGATGGAATATATGTTATTAGAATCATCTATATATCATTTTGGTAGCTGTATAAATTACAAAGAGATTTTCAAGGACGTGAAGAAGGAAAAAAAATACTTGATGCACGGACACAAATAGATTTTCTTTCAATTTCAGATCGCAATGGATGAAACTATATGGAATTCACGTGTGTGTGTTGTGAGACTTCATTTCACGTTTTTTTTAATATTTATTAAATATATTCTTTTAAAAATTTTCATATCAAAATTGTGACTATGAAATTTCACCCCCAAAAAAATGGCAGTGAAAGAATAATTGCGTGCGTGGCGATTCACAAACTATTTTAATAAAAAAATACATTTTATAGGAAATTAAACTAAATCAATTATAAATTGATTTTTTTTTTTGCCTGTAACCATACACTGATTATATATAAACATTTGTACATCAGTAAAGAGCAAGGAGTTTGCTTGGCACGCTTACAATGTATCTATTTTTTTAAAAAAATCTAAATTTTAAAAAAGAAACTTTGAATGCTCTAAATTTGATTGATGTGAATAAATTTGTCCCTTTTTTTTTAAAAAAAATGAAATTGCAATTGCTGCAGGTTTCAAGGGAAGATTCAAATATTCAAACTTCATCAAATGGAGAAAAAGAATTGGTAGTAAATGAAGAAAAAGGGACGGTTGTGATCTCAGGAGCGGAGTACTTGTATTTGAAGGATTCAATGAATCTCATATCTGTATGGGAGGGTCCCGGTTTCATGGTCTTCCAAAATCTTAAGAGTTTATTTGTGAATAAATGTACAAAATTGAAGTGTATGTTCCCAAGCACTGTGATCAGAAGCCTACCGTGTTTGTGGTCTCTAAGCATTGAAGAATGTGAAGAGATGGAGGACATGATGTCATCAGAAGAAGAGCATCACTACTTTCCAAATACATCCTCCTCTCCTTCCTTCTGCTTCCCACAACTTCAATATCTTGAAGTCAGGAGATGCAGAAAGTTGAAATGGCTCTTCCCCTCTCTGCCCTCTACTCTCCATCTTCCACAGTTGGATTGTTTGTGGATTGATAAGTGCTCTGAACTAAAGGGACTTTTTAATTGCGAGCTCGAAATTCAAGAGAAGGGGTTTTACAACAACATATTTCCAAACCTGACATATCCATTTATCAGTGATTGCCCCATCTTCTCCAAAACCATACTCGCGGCTCTTCAAAGGTACGCACATTTGACAAATCCATTTTTTTTCCTTTTCGAATTTCTTCTTTTTCTTTTTGCTGGCGTTATATTTTTTGATTGCACACACTTGGAAATTCTGGCATGGCACACCATACAAAGTTTTGTGTCTTTTGAATTTTGAATTTATTTATAAAAAGAATTACAGTAAAGGGTCAAATTCAGAAATTAATTATTTAGAATGCTTTTAATACTTACAACTCACACAATGCAGGTTTACGACATAATACAAATTTACAACTAATAAGAACATATTTAACGTTATTTACTACTCAAATGACACAAATATACGGCTGCATTAATAAGAATTATTGTCATCAGATTCTTCCTTAGCTTAGTTATATACTGTCTCCTCCGTGATCTATCCATTTTCTTCTCAGAAAGATGTAATTGATGTACACATTTTGGAAGAATTGCAGGATGAAACATTTTGTTTTTCTTTGTTTTTGGACAAATGCCGCATGTTTTCCTCAGATCTATTATTTACTCTGCTAAATATATCTCATTTTTCTCATAATTCTGCAGTCACGCAGCGAAAATACGAAGTCATCATGATCGTCGTGTCGATGATGATGGTGACGGTGACAGTGATGGCATATAATTTGTACAGTTTGCTTCATTTGAATGATGGCGGCATGCGATCAACATTGCAGAAGGCATTCATTTGTCTCATTTTTATTTAAATACTTGGATTTGTTGTCTACATAAAAAAAAACCTACTTGCTCAAGTTTCAATTAACACTTTTGCCAATAGATGAATGATCATTCATTCACTTTCAGTACTAGTACTTTTTATAAAATATTAATATGTTGCGTATAAAAATTTGCAGAGTACAATGCTTTTTATATATGTAATAAAATTTATCACATCCTTCTTGTCAATAAAGTGTTTAATGGAGGATTTTTCATAATTTTTCCTAAGAAAAAGTAGAGCTAGTCTAACCCGCAAAAAATGGCAGATTAGCCAACCTGCTAACAAATAAGTCTTTTCAACCCATATCGCTAGACCTTTAACTGGTCATGGGTTAGCCTGCCAACCTATGAGTTAACTGGCATTTATTTTTTTTATTTTTTCAATTTTATTAATTGTCATAATTGTATTATTATATTTTATATCTTATCTAAAAATTTAAAAATACCAACATCATTTATTGATGTTTTAACTCAAGTATTTAAAGGGAAAACAAAAAAATTTATTATACTTTATTTATACTGAATAAAGAAATTTAAAAAATAGAAAATATTTTTTTAAAAAATGTAAATAATAGTTGACAGGTTGGCTAGCTAGCCCATCAACTCCCATAACGAGTTAAGGTTAGTTAAAGGCCAGCCCACCATCACACATACCTTTTTAACTTGTACTGCTCATATTACCACTCCTAAGGAAAAGCTACCGTTTTGAGAAGATTTTGAATTAATTTGGACATAATGAATTAATGTCACTTATTAGATCCTTACATTACTAATAAAAGCTAAGGTGTACACTTGTCTCTAAATTATTCTTTCAAAGTAATTATTAAAAAAATCAAAATAATTTTATTTATCAATAAAAAATGTAACTGTTATCATTCAAAAAAACATTCACTTTAGAAAATAATTATATTGCGATGCGGAAAAATCATTTTTGGAATTATATATATTAACATTTATACCCCTTATTTTCATATAATATTGAGTTTAAAACATCAATTTTAAATTTTAAATCAAATTACAAAAATTGAAAACACAAAAAATAAATCATTATGATAATCATAAGATCAACAAATTATAAAAAAAAATTAATTAAAAATAAATAAAATAATTAGCATTAAAAATTGAAAATATATATATTTATATATATATTTGGGCTAGGCTAAACTCACCCTCGTGCCAGCCCAAATAATAAATGAATATACTTGGGCTAGACGGCATTATCACATCAATGTATTACGCCGGGAGCCGTCTGAGATAGAAAACGTTAATGGATGGTAGAGACGGATTGTATGTGAAGATGAATCTTAATTACTAATCCCTTAACTACCTCAACATTGTCACCTGTCCAATGTTGACATCCCTCTTCCCTATCTCTGTTGCTTGCACTTTGCTATCGCTAGAACAACTCTCAATAAATGAATGTCATGAATTGAAGCATGTAATCGAGGGAGAGGATGGTATTTTTGACGCGTAGGAATGGGAAATTCTGTCTGTGTGGAATTGTAACCAATTAGAATCTATTTGCCCAAGCTTTTGTGTTCAAGGTTTTACACAATTAAAATCTTTATTCATAAAAGATGCTCCCCAGTTGAAATTTGTATTTGGTGAAGCAACATCAATACGTTATGGAATGGAGACTAGGATAGTGCTTCCACTTTTAGAAAATTTCAGATTAGAAAACTTCCCAAATCTAGTCAGAATGTGTCCAGAGAACTATCATCTATTGTGGCCATCTCTAATGAAAGCAGAATGTACAAACTGTCCAAAGATAGAATACTTCATTTGATTCTCTCATTATTGGTTCAGAACTATAAGGCAACGACGTCAAGATATGGTATGCGTTTACTCTTTGATGCTTCCATTTGATTTTCATAATATGTTGAAGAATGCAGAGAAATAGTAGTTTTCTAAATATCTTAGCTCATGTAATTTTTTGAGGTATGCATGAAAATAACAAGTAGGATTATCAAAAGATCGCCTTACTTCAATAATACATCTTTATGCGCTTTGAATTTTTTATGGATGTATTTGAAAATAAGCAATCAAGGAGGTCGATAAATCCCTATCTTATTAATTTTTTATCTCTTATTATGAGATTTTTTTGGGCATAATTCATTGTTAAAATACATATTTGGATCACAAGGCTATTTTGAAAATTAAACGGATTAAATGCTATATTTTGCTAATAACCATGCATCTTAAAAATTTTTCTATTTATCTGGACATATGATCCTACCTTTAGTTTGAGTTCTATATTGGAATTAATTCTTAACGTTTGATTGTTTTAATGGTTTCATTATGGGCTAGATCAAGTCGAGGTTTTGAGCCACACAACAGCCATAAGTTTGGATTGGATTATGCAATTTAAGTGTTTTCATATGTTAATATATACTTTTAGTTTGAGTTCTATATTGGAATTAATTCTTAATGTTTGATCATAGTATTAAAAATCGGACCGAACTGGCCGGTTCAGACTGGAAACCGGTGAACCAGCCACTTGTTCGGTCCGATCTATCACTCAAACCGGAGCAAACTGGACTAAACCAATGTAAACCGGTCATAGACTGGGTAAATTGTTGGGTTAGGCGGTTTAACGGGTTATTATTTTTCATCAGACCAGAGCCTATGAGCTTCGAATGGAACGGCCAAAAAGTCTAAATTAGTTTTAAGCTTTGAAGACGACAATTGCGTAGTGAGGAAAAAGAAGAGAGAAGGCATGATTAAGGTGGAAATTGAAGGCTACAACCTAATATTACTTGAAAGAGATTCAACGAACAACCTTAAACGAAATCTCAAGCAGGGAACCTACGACAAGCTGACCATGAGGGAGAGCGAGACCGAGAATTAAAAGTGATGGCCAAAACAATGAGGGAGCGGCAAAGGCTTGCAAGTTTGAGACAGCGTGCTTCTCCGATCTCATCCTGGCTTCACACTCTGCTTCCTCTTCGTCCTTTTCACTTTTTTTTCCTCCAGTAACTACGGTGCTGGCTCTCTCCTTCCTAGCCGTCGCTTCATACTTCCTTTCCTCCCCCTCTAATCTAATGTGTTGGCCCCACCACATCCCCAAAACCTAATCTTAAAATTAAAATGACAAAACTATCCTTAAACTTCCTAATTCTTATTTATATTAATACACCTGAAGAAAAAAAAATTGAGAGAATAAAAATTAATTCACCTAAATCCAATTAATTTTTTTCCAACTAAATCCAATTAATTTTCATCATTAATCTTCAATTAAAATTTAAAGATTTGCACAAAATAAAATAATATTTAACATATGTGCAAAAATCTTAAATAGTAAATTTATAATATTTATTTAACTGACTAATCTCACAAATATAAAATAGATAATAAAATAAAGTATAATTTAATTAAACATAATTAGCCACAATTAATCATTAAAAGGACTTCGGTCTAGTATATACGGATATGATTTATCAATATATCTAATAATTATTTATAACTTCATTTATTAATAATTCATACACTATTGTCACTATTTTTTTTTTATATTTTTTAGTTATTACCGGTCTGACTCCGGGTTGATTCCGGTCTGAACCACTAACCCTTAACCCACTATCTCGACCGGTTCAGTGACCGGTCTGGTTTTTAGTACCTTGCGTTTGATTGCTTTAATGGTTTCATTATGGGCTAGATCAAGTCGAGGATTTGAGCCACACAACAGCCATAAGTTTGGATTGGATTATGCAATTTAAGTGTTTTCATATGTTAATACTCCTCCGGTCCTTAATATAGAACCCAATTCTTGAGTTAGTTTTGGTCCTAAATATAAGATCCATTTATCATATTTATCAATTTTATCTAAATTACCCCTATGGATACTCTCTCAACCATAATCAAGTAGAAGAGGGAAAAGGGGTATTAAGAAAGATGATTATGGTATTTTAGGAAAAATGTGTCACTTTTCTTATAATTAACTAACTTACCTAACTTTTTTAATCTAATCAAATTAGTTAAATGGGTCTTATATTAAGGACCAGAGGAGTATATACGTTTAGTTTGAGTTCTATATTGGAATTAATTCTTAACGTTTGATTGTTGAATGAGTTAATTGTTTAGAGCTTGCTTGAGAAATATATTGATGCTTATGTTTGTATTGTAGTTGAGTTCTTTAATGTTGTTTGTTCTAGCATGTTAGGGCTAGATGATTCCATTAAATTGAACTCGCTAAAAGCAAAGAATTACATCTAACCCATCTCTCTATATTTTTCTTTTCAAATATTTATGTTTGCATTACCCTTTTGTCTCAATAAAACAATGAATTTTTATTTCCAAAATTACCCTCTTCTCTCAATTGTTTTGTCCTTTCACAAACAAGTATCTTGTACATCAGATTTAAGAGATAGATGTTTTGAGGAAAAAAAGAAGAATTCTAGAAGCTACCCCATAATCATACCAGACGTCGTCCTCAAGCCGCGATATACCTGCGGGAGTCATATGCCTCTGTTTCACCTTCCTCAGATGGTTCAATATATCCTCGGCCAGAGCTAATTTTGATAAATATAATCCCATTATGAGTTCGTGAGTAATGCCTTTGTCATTTTTTCCCCCCAGTAACTCTGCATTTTTATCCGAATTTTAGTTGCCATGTAAATCATCAAGTACAAAATATATATACATACACACATGTATATATTTATATATATATATTAAAGTATACTTTCAGTCTCTTAATTTTATATAAAATTTTAATTTAATCATTAAAAAAATTTTTTTGGGGGAATGAAAAGGAAAGATTACACTTGAAAGGAGAAAACAAAAGAGCTAGCGATTATGCTATGTCATCTCTAAGATGAGATAAATATTCGTTTGATTGATTCATTTTAAAAAGTATGTTTTTAGTCATTTCGCCTTAAAACTGTTAATAAAAAAAACAATGATATTAAAATCTTGAATGTTAATAAAACATTCTTAAATGTTAATATATTAAGTTCAATTTTTGAAATTATCATAACTGTCACAAAAATCATTATTTAATGCTAATAATTTTAAGGCTAAGGAACTAAAAATATATTTTTCAAGGTTAGAAAGTCAAACTAAAAAGAAGAACCCAATGTATCCTTTTGCCTATATATGTCTGGTTGGATAATCTTACTGGTAACATCAATA